CCTGAGGTGTATCTGTGCAGGCCCCTGCCAAGGCTCTGAATACAGTAGCCATAAATATATTATGGATTTCTTTAAGAGGGTCCCCCAAAAGTATCCACACTTCCAGTACCATAAAATTTAGATCTGCCCTGTGATAACCATCTGAATAGTGCCTACAATGTTTGCACAATAGGACCCTTTCTTTCCTAACCTCTACTCATGTTGTGGTTTATACAGTCCAGGAACAATTTCCTCAGAAGTACATTCTTCCACCTGTGGCAAACTCAGATCGTCCTCCCCCACTTAGAAGCCTTCACTGACTCCCTGTCTGGGTCTCTGACACACTCCCAGAGCACCTCGAGGAGTCTGAATCATACTAATGTCATTGCTAAGTGACGTATATATGTACCCCTACTGAACTGCAGGCTCTATGGAGCCTTGTCTGCACAGAGCGCAACTTCCGGAGACCAGTAATAAGGGATCAGTATTTATTGAATGACTAAACACCAGACCATGTATTTACTTAACCTTAATTTGCGAAAGGCCTTTGTTCCCATTCTGAGCTTTCCTTCAGAAAGTACCATTCTACTTTAGAGAGTGACTTTCAAACTAGAAGATTTTAGCACAATACGTAAGTTCTGCTATTATAAGGTTTTCCTCATAATGGTGTTGCTGGAGGAGTCCATCTCGGGCAATCCCACTTCTTTTGGGTGTCTGCATTTCCCAACCAGCTCCCTGCCACTCTGGATTTTACTCTTTTCAACTTCCTACTTCTCTGGCCTACTATGTGGACTCGGCTTCCAGTCCCAACCTCTGAGTAGTCTCGCTTTTGTGCTTAGGCTCTCCATAACTCTTGGTCTGAAGCCTTAGCTCATCCACATTCATACTCGTTTGTTTGCTATTGGAGTGAAGGGTTGCTAGAGACCACTCCTACCTTCAATAAAACTAGAAATGCCTCAAATTATGGATGTCTTCTTAGAGCTTCTCTTTAGTCATAAACAATTATGTAATATTTTTAACAACTTAGAAGTTATTTAAAAGCTTACCTCTATTAATATATGTATACATTTATATACATGTTTATAAATACATATATACACAAACGTTTATACATACATACATACATACATATGTATACATACACAGAGTGGCCAGATTATTATGACCACCCCATCAGTACTTTGATGGGCCACCTTTTGCCTTCAGTACTGCGGTGGTTCTTCTTGGCATTGACTCCACGAGATGTTGAAAGTTGATGTGAGGAATCTGACACCATGCCTGATGAATAGCACTGTCTAGTTCTGGAGATTTGATGGTTGTGGAACCAGCTGCCTGATGGTTCTTTTAACTCTGCCCCATGAATGCTCAATCGGATTGAGATCTGGTGATTGTGGGGGCCACCTAAGCAAGGTAGAGTCTCCCTCATGTTCTTGAAACCACTCTTGCATAATACAGCACCGTGGCATGGCGCAGTCTTGTTGGAAGAAGCCATCTCCATTTGGATACGCCATTAACATGATAGGATGAACTTGATCAGCAACGACACTTAGGTATGTTGTGCTATTCAGACGTTGTTCCACATTAATTAAAGGGCCCGAATCATGCCAGAAAAAATGTCCCAAACCGTAACACTGCCCCATCCGCTTGAAGTATTGTACTCATGCATGTGGGGTGCAGGCTTTCATGCTGTTTCCGCCGAATTCTCTCTGCCATCTGCATGATGCAACTGGAAACGTGATTCATCGGACCACATGGATTTTTTCCAATGCTCAACTGTCCAATCCTTGTGTTCCTGTGCGAATTGGAGACTTTTTTTTTTTTTTTTTTTTTTATCTTGGTAACTGCAGACAGCAAAGGTGTTCGAACAGGCCTTCAGCTTCCATATCCCATATGACGCAGTGTACAACTAATTTGCCTACAAACATCAGGTGGTCATAATAATCTGGCTACTCAGTGTATATGTATATGCATACACACAAATGATGTTAATATCTTAGACAAACACTAGATCTCAAAATATAGTTAGAAGAATTCTAAATTATTTGCTCCTTTGGATTTCTCATGCTCACCCTGTTTTCTGGGGGGACCAGCAGCACCTGTAAAAATTTTATTAGATTTGAATTTACAGTGCAGCATATTCCTAATTAACCTGTATTAACAATTTCCATTATGACTTCCAACTTGTGTTACAGAAACATGGATCATTTTATAGTTCTAACATATGTCACTTGTAATTTTTGAGTGGTCTTAAAATAAGTTAACTTCAAACAAGAAAAAAGTACATATAATATGGTGCTTGCATTTTAGCATTAATGCAAAATTCTTTCTTTATGAAGACTTTGATGCTTTCCCCCTACCTTTTATCCTCAGTGTCTAGATAGAACACAGAAGACTTTTCATTAATATCCATTGAATAGAAGATGCTACTGACCCTATAGGAGTAAGATGCAAAATTTGCTCATTATTATCAGTGAAGAGAACAACTTGCTGTGACTCCTCATGATTTTGCCCTTCCCCAGGACAAAAAGTACTTGCAAGAAGGCTAACTTAACATCTTTGAGATCTTGAACACAGTAAAGCTAACACATATTTTGATCAGTGGGAAATTTTCAAAAAGAAATAATACTTAAAACCAAAGTTACAAATTGCAATCTATTTAAACTTTAATTTGTGCATCTGTGGTAATTTATGACTGCAAAACACTTCTTTCTTAGAATGACATAATTAAAGGCACATTTCATTTGAATGCATAGTGTACCATTCTAAAATATTTTAATTTCCTCACAAAGTGCTTGAGCAGTCACTTACACATACAGTAATAGCAAAATATATTTACACTCTATAGTTTAAAAATTTTAAATCTGACTATAGTTTAAAAATTTTATGTTTAAAACTACAGAAAAAATTAGTGCTTTCTTCAGCTTAAAGGTGTGAACATGCCCTGCCCTCTAATTTTTTTTAGTGATTGGCTTCAATTTAAAAAAATTTCTGTACACTGTGTAGTTACAAAAATGCCATCAGTTTTAAATGCTAAAAGCCTATTTTAGACATTGCTTTTTATGCATATTTGAGAACCTGGAAAGGTGAACAGACTGTACCTCAAAAGTATTTAGTGTGTTTTTTAAAAAATGTGTTAATACTGTTTAAAGCCAGGCAATTAAGCTAAGATCCTCTATTGTCCTTTACCAAAAGTCAACTGGCATTTAAAAATAACTTGAAACAACATATTGCTCCTTCTAGAAGATTATTTCCCAAAGGATCTTGGGTGATAATCAACTTGAAAGGAAATATAAATTATCTCTGAACCATTTGAATTATTCTCAGAATACAGCAAAAACGTGCCAACACCCTCTGGCAAGGCTGAAATATTTATAAATGTTTTTAGCTCAAGTCTCTGCTTTCATGTTTCTCATGATTTAAAATTGAACAGTTTTTAAGACATGAGACCACTGTGATTAAATGGTAAATGGTTAATTCAGAATGTTCAGTTAATAACTTGCTATTCCTGAGGTATGATGACCCTAATATGCTAAGCACAGAATCAAATATGTTATTATTGAACTAAGGAAAAACAATGAAGACATGGACTGGAAGGGAAAAACAAATGAACAAACAAAAATATCCAAAACTCCAGGCAAATGGAAAAGTCATGGCTTACAAAAAAGATTTTTCTATAAGAGCATTCAAAAAACCACGAAAGGATCCTTTGAAGAGTTGTAAAAAGTACTTGATCAAATTATTTTTGAGACTTTTGAGGTACAGCTTTAGTGTTATAATTTTTATAAAATATAGACTGTTTTATCAAAAATATTTATACATTCTGTTACAATATATTGCTTTTGCCCTTAGTAACTGCCAATATAAAATCTGGATCTAGTGGCCTAAAATGTACAAATGCACTTAACAAATGCGGGAGTTTGAGGTGTCTGCTTGGCCACTGTACAAAAGTGATGAAGTGGTGAAATTAAATAATAAACCAACATAGAATACATTACAACTTGCACATATACATGTTCACAGCATGTATACAATGATAACCCCTAGGTTTTAACAAAGAAATAGTTCCCTTCTACAGTAGACACAAGAACAAGATGAACTATATTGATAAATGTACAATGAATATCAAAAGAAGCAGTATGAGTTCACTGATTTTGGAGGAAGGTATGACTGAACATGCTGAGTGTCTAGACTTTGGGAATGCATATGGGTAACACAGTATCTTGGTTCAGGCTAATCAGAAATTCTCATTCTTAACATTTAAGTAAATGCTGATGTTTAGTTGTTCTTGTTCATTTCATGGTTTGATAAACAAGTGTTTGGCAAGTAGCTCTGTTGAAAAGCTGTGAGGTCCTGTTAAATGGTTGGTAAAGATAAGGCAATAAAAGTTTTCTCCTAATAAATATAAAAAATTTATAAAACAAGACATCAATTCATTTCATTAAAAAAGGCCTAAAAATGAGCACTAACTACCACTACTTTTTTTTTTTTATATTTCAGTTATTTCTTTAAAAAAATAAGAGCATTTGCCTTATTCAAACAGAATCATATGTCTGACTAGTAACAGCATCCCAAGCCCTTTTTTCATTTAAAAAATTCAGCTAAGTAAAGTTAACTGATTCATTTTCCTTCCACTTAAGGCAGGCAGGCATACATCCAAACTAGGGACTATAGAAGGGCATATTTGTGTGTTTTTTAAAAAGACTATTGATCCAAAAGTATTCATTTGTGAGAGATTTTCACGCCTGATGTTCATTTAGCTTAAACTTCATGAAACTGTTTCCAGTGCTCAGATTTACATTGAGAATACATCAAGAAGCTACTTTTCAGAAGATATTAGAAGTACTTTAAAACAAATCTTCATGTGTTAAAAAACAAAACAAAAAAACACCAAAAAACAAAACAAAACAAAACAAAAAAACAGACTCAGAAGCTACTGGTGGCACAGAGAGCAAATGAAGAGTTGCTATTTTTTAAGAGGTCATCTTGTAGACAGTCTGCTTGGTTTCACAGTGGGTAGGAACTTAACACCAATCAGCAATGTAGTCAAAATCTCTGAACATTTCTTGCTCCTCTTCTGAAAGTATCCTTGGTTCTCGAGGGGGAGTCAGAATAGGTGCTTCTGAGGTAAATTCATCATCAAAGTTACTAACGTCTTCCCGTCCTCGAATGGTAGGTACAAACGGCGGCTTTACTTTTTTGTCCATCAGAGCACTCCAATCGATTAGCTGAATTACAAAATATAAAATGTCCAGTTTAGTTTCCTACTCCTAATGGCTATAATTTCAGAAAAAATTCTAAACTTTCATACTTACTCGGAAAAATGGGTGCTTTTTAACATCCTCTGCATCTTTCTCACCAGCTCCAAGACGCCTCTCAGGATTTCTTCTTAATAGCTAACACAACATAAAGTTAAAAAGTAAAATAAAACTTCATTGATAAAGATTCTCATAACCTACAAAGATTTAGATTTCTTTTTATATGTGTTTGTCTAAACCATGCATCTATGAACCGAAAAAGAACTTATAGTCTTTCAATATAAAAAATTTAAATAGTTTATAAACTATTAATTCTTACCCTTCTCATTATGGAAATGGCTTCTGTAGATAAGAACCTTGGATACCTTACTTCATCATTTACAATACTGTCAAAAACCTCCTCTTCATCATCACCAGGAAAGGGAGACTAGAAGAAATATATCTGAGTAAATCAAAATGATTTTCAATATAGTGAAATCTTATACCAATCCAAAGCAATAGCAAGAACCAGGTAGTGAAATAAACAAAACAAAACAAAAACTACATAAATAAAAAAACACCACACAAACAAGGACCAAAGAAACTACAACAGACATATATCGATTGCCCAGAGGACACACCATATACTTTCTGAAATCTTCCTTAAATTTATTTCATAGATCTGAATAAATTTGGTCAAATAATCCTATATAATAAAAGGCTAATATGTAAATAGACTGAATGGCAGAACGACCGATCGCCATGATGCTCACTGACCACCAGGGGGAGTGCTGCTCAGCCATAAGCCCTGAGCCAAGCTCATGGTTGGCAAGCGCAGTGGCAGTAGCCTCTCCCACCTCCATGGCAGTGCTAAGAGTGTCCTACTGCCAGCTTAGGCCTGCTCTTCACATGGGCCTAAGCTGGCAGTTGGACATCTCCTGAGGGCTCACAGACTGCGAAAGGGTGCAGACTGGGCTGAGGGACTCCCTGCCCCACCATTCCCATGCACAGATTTTGTGTACCGGGCCTCTAGCCTAATATAATTTTTCATTTCATTCCATTTAATTTCATTTATTTATTCATTTATCTGGCCAGACAGTAAATCTTTTAAGTACCTACTACATAGTGGGAAACATTTAGATAATAAACAATCTTTAAGAATGATAATAATGACTCTGAGTCATAAAAAAGTAGTTACATTACATTTGGTATGTCTATTTGATATCAAAGGGATAAACTCTCAACCATGTTAATGTGGTTATACAATATGGCTTATCACCTCAGAATTTCAGATAGTTTAGAACTGATTGTTCGCTTCCTATAAGTTATGAAAGACTAAGAACCAAGCAATAATTCCAAGGATCAATGGAATAATAGGGATCTTTGACCTGAGGAATCTGTGAAAATGAATTCAGAACCCAACTTCCTGAAACTGAGCTGCCCATACTACTGTGCATATGTAATTTCTTCCTTCAGGAATGAAGATAAGTCAGGGAAAAATTCTTTCACAAGGATATGCAATCAGAACTTAAGTGGTAATACAAAGCACTTTTGTTGATCAGTCAACTTTGTATTTAAAAATGTCACTCTATAAGTAACAGTTTATCTTCATATTTGTTAAGATATTAAAGTTCTTTGTTTCCTCAAACAGATTATAAGCTAACAACAAAACACACAAATGTGTTTTGAACACATAAAAATGCAGTAATCTGTTCAGCTGTCAAGTATCTAACTCCAGTATGTATAACCCATTTGGCACAGGGAAAGGAGACCTGGTACATTCATTAGTTTATTTCTGTAGTTTTTTCAGTACTCAAAACTTGTACAAATAAAACTTCAAAACAAGTATCACATGATCTCTCTCATATGTGGAATCTAATGAACAAAATAAACTGATGAACAAAGTAGATCCAGAGACACAGAAGCATGGAACAGACTGTTGATCTCAGAGGGAAGGTGGGGGTAGATGGGAAGAGATCAACCAAAGAATGGAAACAGACAATGGGGTGGTGAAGGCCCTGGGGTGGAGGTAGGGAGGGATAGGGGCAGGCTAGAAGAGGTCAATGTGGAGGAAAAAGGGGACATCTGTAATACTTCCAACAATAAAGATTTTTCAAATACAAATTTGAATATGCATGATATGTTTAGGGAAGTTTTCAATTATTTGTAAATAATAGATAAATCAGATATAAACTTTAGCCAAACCTCACTCATATAATAGTTTAAAAAAATGTTATTGCTAAAATTTCACCAATGCTATAAATTTATAAAGCATATTGATGAGTTTTAAGTTTAGTTCTTTTCCCAATTATCTTCTTATGGAGGTGTTAAAAATAAATGAAATTTCGAAAAAACTCTGAAGGAATAGCTAGCTCCTTTGTCTTTTAAGAGCTTAGTTAATTAGAAGCTCTTTTTAAAAAATTAAAAAATATGAAACAATAGCTTCCTCACTTGTACAATGCCTATCTACTAGTCACTTTTGGAATAGGAGGAAATAGAATCAATTGGCTCTTAATTCTCTATTATTTTGCAATAAACTTATTATTAATTTTTTTTGCATGTCATCTCTAATATGGAGGGTAAATTTTAAGCAAGCATAAAATTTTTAGTAACTTAAATTTCATATGTATCTGAATGCTACACTTAAAAAACAACACAAAGCAACAAATATGTTACTTTAAAAGATTTTAAGTATGCCAGAGTTCACAGAAACAACTATCATGAATACATACCCTGTCTCTTTTAGAAAGTAAAGATCACCCTGGATTAGGGATAAAAAACATCTTTCCATCCTAAAACAGCATATAGCACTTTTTTTAAATAGGGGTAAAAAATTCAGTTCTGAACCATTGGTCTTAGGACAGAAACAAGGTTGGGTAGATTTAATACCCTATCCTGCAGGTAGCAAAATATAATGGTTTCCAGAAAACCAGGTTGAAAATCAAAGCCCTACCCCATGACAGCTGTGAGACTTTAAGCAAGTTACTCAAGTTCTGTTTTCATTTATTTATCTGAAAATGAATGTAAATTAATACTGAGCTTATTAAAGGTTGCTGAAAAATTAAATATTCTAAAATTTATAAAGCACATAGAATAGTACCTATCACATAAGCCTTTTAATTAGCTATTTCTTTCCCTCTTTTTCTAAGTATTCACTCCAATGTTGTTTGGATGAACTGAAATAATTTATTTTTATTTGTTTGAGTAAGTGCCACTACATGACAATCACAGAAAAATTTTTTGACATTCAATTATTTGGTCATTCTTTCATTCATTTATTTATGCCAAGAATGTACAAGGAAGGTTGTTGGCACCAGACAAACTGTAGAACAATGAACCAATCTCAAAAGATAAATTTTCTTGCATCTTGAGATCAAGATTCTCTAAGTAGCTTTCAATTACTTATCTAAATATTGACTTTTTCCCAATTCCACCCTAATTTATCATAGCCAACAATTTATAACAAAACAGATTAGTCTCTTACTACTGCTTTATTTATTAGATATAATTCACTATTTCCTCAGTGGCAAAATTTCAGTGAACAACTAAGTGATCCCCAGAAATGTACTTCTAGCTAATCTAAAAAAAAAAAAAAAAAAACAACAGTAAGAAAGTTAATTTTTTTCTGGTACTGGCACAAGAAAAGACATATTGATCAATGGAACGGAACAGAGAACCCAGAAATTGACCCAAACCACTATGCTCAATTACTATTTGACAAAGGAGGCATGAACATAAAATGGACTCAAGACAGTCTCTTCAATAAATGGTGTTGGGAAAGTTGGACAGATACAAGCCAGAAAAAAAGAAAAAAAAGAAAATAAAGAAAGAAACTAGACCACTAACTTACACCATACACAAAAATAGACTCAAAATGGATAAAGGACTTAAACGTAAGATGGGAAACCATAAAAATACTAGAGGAATCCACAGGCAACAAAATCTCAGACATATGCTGAAGCAATTTCTTCACCAATATAACTCCTAAGGCAATGGAAACGAAAGAGAAAAGTAAATGGGACCACATCAAAATGAAAAGCTTTTGTACAGCAAAAGAAACCATCAACAAAACAACAAGAAAGCCCACTTCATGGGAGAACAAATTTGCTAAGGTTATCACAGATAAGGGTTTAATTTCCAACATTTACAGGGAACTTAACAAAAGGAAGATAAACAATAAAAAAATGAGCAATGGACCTAAAGAAGACATAAGGAAGGCCAAGAGACATATAAAAACACGCTCAAATCAAAACAACAATGCCATACCATCTCACACCTGTCAGAATGGCTATCATCAACAAATCAACAAATAACCAGTGCTGGCCAGGATGCTGAGAAAAAGGAACCCTCATGCACTGCTGGTGGGAATGCAGACTGGTGCAGCCACTGTGGAGAATAGTAGGGAGTTTCCTCAAAAAACTAAAAATGGAACTCCCATTTGACCCAGTAATCCCACTTTTAGGAATATATCGCAAGAAACTAGAAACACCGATCAGAAAGGATATATGCACCCCTATGTTCATAGCAGCACAATTCACCATAGCTAAGATTCGGAAACAGTCTAAGTGCCCATCAGCAGAAGAGTGGATTAAAAAATGGTGTTATATCTACACAATGGAATACTACACTGTGGAAAAAAGAAGAAATTCTTACCATTTGCAACAGCCTGGATGGAACTGGAGAGTATTATGCTAAGCCAGTGGTCGGCAAACTCATTAGTCTACAGAGTCAAATATCAACAGAACAACAATTGAAATTTCTTTTGAGAACCAAACTTTTTAAACTTAAACTTCTTCTAAAGCCACTTCTTCAAAATAGACTCACCCAGGCTGTGGTATTTTGTGGCAGAGCCACACTCAAGGGGACAAAGAGCTGCCTGTGGCTCGAGAGCCGCAGTTTGCCCACCACAGTGCTAAGTGAAATAAGCCAGTCAGAGAAAGATAAATGTCACATGATCTCACTCATTTGTGGAATACAATGAACATAAACTGATGAACTAAAAGATCCTGAGACAAAGAAGTATAGATCAGACCTTCAAACCTCAGAGGGAAGGGAGGGGAGGGGAGAGGAAGTGGCAGAGATCAATCAAAGGACTTAAAAGTACATGCATATAATAAGCCTAACCAAAGGACACAGATACCAGGGGGGTGAGGGCATGAGTTGGGGATAAGGACACATATGTAATACCTTAATTAAAAAAAAATTATACATATAAAAAAAGAAAGTCAATCTTTTCAAGTCTGCTATACTGTTTTTGACTAAAGTATAGCTGACTTTTCTTTACTGGTATATAGGACATTCAGTTTATTAGTTTTCCTGTTATTCTATTCCCTATGAAATATTCAATTATATTATATCTTAGAATCATACCATAGCAATACCAAAATACAAGAAACTACTTTCAAAATACTGGTAATGCATTCCATAGATGACATAAAAATCTAAAAAAGACAGCGAAGGTAATATAGAATCATAGTTAATTATTAGTACATTATAAATATTTATACAACTTAAGTTCCACTTATGCATGAGACACATTAAATAGTTTTATAAATAAATGACATGCTTTGTTCTTTCAATCATCTTTTTTTTCTTTCTCACTACTTTATACTGCTTACCTCTCCGACAAGCATTTCATATATTAGTACACCAAGGCCCCACCAATCTACAGCCCTTGTATAAGATGTTTCTGTTAATACTTCTGGGGCAAGAAATTCAGGAGTGCCACAAAATGTGCTTGTTCTATCTCCATATCCCATTCCTGAAAAAGGTAAAATTTAAATATTTGTTAGTAAAGAAAAGATCTTGAATAAAAATCAGAAGATATCATTAAGCAGCAAAATTAAAGTTGCACAGTAGTGCATGGTGACCAAAGTCAAGATATACCAAAGACTTTTAAAGAAAATGTTAAAGGTTGGTATTGAGAAAACTATGCTAAATAGCAACCTTATTATTTAATCAATGGGTAAAAATAAAATTTTCATACTTTATTTACTTATTTTCTCTTTCTTGTCATTACAAGTGACAACAACAGGAACTGACTGTGAATTTCAAATTTTATCATTTTTTTCAAATCAATCTTTTTAGTAAGTTTATTTACTTCATTATAAAAATAACATTAAGTATAGCTTGGAAAATACCACAAAATAACATTAAGTATAGCTTGGAAAATCAAGAGTTCACCAAATGTGTTACATAATATAGAAATATGGTATCAATATTTTTAGCTAACTAGTTTTCAAATATATGTTCCCCATCATAATTTATTTAATCAACTATACATTCTACATATTGAAGATGTCTCAATGTATCCTGAAGTATTAAAAGCTTATAATTGTTTTCTTATGAGAGAACTTAAATGAAAAGACCTCAATTCTAAATATAAAAAGGTCTGCATTTATAAGGACTGAATTCTCAAATAAGGTTGTTTTATTTGAGATTAACTTAATTATACCCTTTAAGACGAAGACTTAAAGACTGAGAAATGTTTGCAAATTTTAGTGAACATTGGTCATATTACTTTTTCTTCAAAAGTGTTATTTGTAAAAAAAGTTGATATAATATCTATATAAGTTCTACACAATCCTTTTAAATGCCTTGGCCAACATTAGGAAAAAGTTAACAAAGATGGAAACAGAACTAATTTCTTTATTTTTATTCTGTGCCCTGATCACACAACTAAAACATGTAATACTTTTGGCACAAAACTACTCTAACTTCTCCCTCTTAATTTTTAAATGGTAATATTATAAAATCTTAATATTTTAATGTAATGTATATACTGTATATCATGTCTTTTATAGTAATACAGTTATATTTCATTCATTCTGATACATTTAAATTTAAATACCTAAGACTTCAAATTGGTAGAACTCCAGTTAAGTAGTTAACATCAGGCTCTGGAGTCATAAATATCTGGGTTTAAAAACCAGCTTTGCCATTTATTAGCCATGAGAGCATGGGAAAGCTGTCTTACCTCAAAGTCTGTTTTCCTCAGCTGGATCACCAATTTTCGTAAGATAGTTATAATTTAACAGGATATGAAGCTTATGAAACAAAGTGCTTGGCACACTGAAAGTGCTCAACAATGGCTAGCTATTATTATGATAATGTACTATGTCTATTTTTATGACAATGAGAAATATATATTTAGTCTGCTTATTGAATACATATTTTCAGAATACCTATTATATTCTGGGCATCCATGCCAAGTGGTGGGGACATAAAAATGAGAATAAGACACAATTCTTTCAAGGAGCTTACAGGAAATTAGAGAAAAATAAGTATATACAGATGTCAACACAATTTGATAACTAACTGGATGGAGAGTTGAGAAGAGGACAGAGTTCAGGAAAACTCCACATTTTCAACCTGGGAGACTGAGAGGACTGTGGCACCATCAACTGAACTAGACCAGTGGTCGGCAAACTTATGAGTCAACAGGGCCAGATATCAACAGTACAACCATTGAAATTCCTTTTGAGAGCCCAATTTTTTAAACTTAAACTTCTTCTAATACCACTTCTTCAAAATACTCGCCCAGGCCATGGAAGAGCCACACTTAAGGGGCCGAAGAGCCGCACGTGGCTCGCAAGCCACAGTTTGCCGACCACGGAACTAGACTATCGGAGGAAAAGAAACAATTTTTTTTTTTATAGCATTTAAGATACTTATTGACTATTCTAGTACAGCTGTCTAGTAGACAGCTGAATATATATGTTAGGAAGGGAAATAATAGATTTGGGAATCATCTATCCTAATAAAAGGGTAATATGCTAATTAGACTGGGTCAACAGCCATCTTTCAGATATCTGACTTCTTTCCAGACAAAGCCATGGTGGTGCAGGTCGTGGCAGTGGTGGTAAGGAGTGATCAGGACGACAGGGGAGGGCAGTTGGGGCCATAAAGCCGGCACGGGAATGGTGAGGCAGTGATCAGGCCAGCAGATTCGGTTAGGGGCAATCAGACAGGCAGGCAGGTGAGCAGTCAGGAGCCAGCGGTCCCAGATTTTGAGAGGGTGCAGGTTGGGCTGAGGGAAACCCCCCACCCTGTGCATGAATTTTGTGCACTGGGCCTCTATTTAATATATAATTGCTAGTTAAAAACTAGCAGTGAAGAGCAATGGGTTAAGGACAGACGCTGAAGAATAAAAACATTTAAGTCAACATTGTCCAATTCAGAGAAGTCCAATAAGAGAAAAACATTTTTATTGAATTCAGTAATTAGGAGGTCAGTGGGTAACTAATGGACAATAATATACTCACAAAGTCCATCTGTTCTTTCATTCATTCATCTAACTATTTATTATTATTATTATTATTTTTATTCCTCATCCAAAGAGTGAGGACATTTTTTCTATTGATGTTGAGAGAGAGAGAGGGGTGGGGGGGGAGGGAAAGGGAGAGGGAAAGAGGGAGAGAGGGAGAGAGAGAGGTGAGAGAAACACATTAATGGTTGCCTCACACATACGCCCCAACTGGGGGCAGGGATGGAACCTGCAGCCAAGGTATGTGCCTGGACCTGGAATTAAACCCGTGTCCCTCCAGTGTGCAGGTTGATGCTCTAAACACTTTGCAACACCAGCCAGGGCATCATCTAACTACTTATTAATTGAACATTCACTGAATACTTAAGATTTGCCAAGCAGTATCCTATATGCTATAGAAACAAAGCTGAATAAGAAATAAAATGCTACCAATGTGGAGGGCAAACAGATAATGTTCCTTACAATACAATGTATTAAATGTGAAGATAAGAAAGAATACCTATTTACCATATGTTAAGTAAGCACTGTGTCACATACTTATCTCCAATTCTCATAATACTCCTAAACAAGGAGGATTATATTTATTTTATAACTGAGGAAATACTCAATGAGGTTAAAAGTAATTCCTCCAAAGATACAGAGCAAACAAGTAGCAGAACCAGGATTCAAAACCTAAGACTATCTGGTACCTAAGTCCAGGCTCTGTACACTTTCTTATGCTACCTCTTGATTCAAATTTTCCCAGTTTACTTATTTACTTTTGAATATATAGAAAGGATTATTGATATACATTATTTTTCCTATTTAAAAATGTTAAAAGTGCCGAGACCAGTTTGGCTCAATGCATAGAGCGTCAGCTTGGGGACGGGGTTCGATTCCGGGTTCGATTCCGGTCAAGGGCATGTGCCTTGGTTGTGGGCATATCCCCAGTGGGGGGTGTGCAAGAGGCAGCTGGTCGATGACTCTCTCTCTCATCGATGTTTCTAGCTCTCTGTCTCTCTCCCTTCCTCTCTGTACAAAATCAATAAAATATATTAAAAAAAATGTTAAAAGTTTTAAGAAAATAGAGAGAAGTTATTAGTTTTATTTAATTCACTCTATAGTCCCAGCATAGTGAAAACTTTGGTGCTTAACTAATGTTTTTTTTAATACAATAGTAATAGAATTATTAATCATACAAAGAGAATCTTTGTTTTATACTCTGATTTCTGAAAACCTAACTATTCATACCCACAGCATTCTTTATATGTGACAATTAGGTGATATGAATAATCCATAATGTTTTAATAAAGAATAAATTAAAGTTAAAAATACATTCTACTTTCCATAGACTAACTTGAAAACTACCAAAGTACAAAGGAATAATAATATATTACAAAAAGAAACTTTAAAATGTCCAATTACCTTCTTTGCAAAGGCCAAAATCAGCAATTTTCACAAAGCCTTCTGTATCTAGCAATAAGTTATCCAATTTCAAATCTCTGTTCAGGATTAAAAAAATGAAAAGAAAAAAAACACACATTAAAATCACTAGAAAATGAAGTAAAAAAGTCATTCTATTAGGAGCTGTACTTTCTCTTTGCTAAAAACAACTTTTTCAAATTGTGATTTGAGATTTAAATACTATATTAGAAACATTCATTTTTCTTCCATTTGTATGTAGTACTCTACATAATATAATTTCTGAATAATTTTCCTGTTATATAGAACAAGAAGAATGTATTTAATAAATAATATTTTATCTATTTAAATATATACTTAAAAACATGAAAGGAGTTTAAGTGTTTGCCTATACACCATCCATAAAAAAGAAATGTCTAGCAGTATAAAGAAGGTATTGGGGGCAAGCTTAACTTTCTAAGAGAATAATTCAAAATAAAGAGAAAACTATCTACCCAGACTAAATGATTACAAATTAAGTTAAAAATAGTTTATCCTGTGAGTAAAACAGGACCATGAGGATACCTTTACCTTGAAAATATTGTTAGAAGTTTGAGTAAACTAATGTTTATAGTCTCCTAATTCTGAATGGCCTTTTGATAATTTGCCTACTCTAGATCAGTGATTTTCCAGTGGTGTGCCGCAAGAATTTTTAAAGCAGGCAATACCTGATTGTTTAGTCAGGGCACTAACCTCTTTTCCCTTAGATTGTCAATAAAAAAATGACAACAGTCAACACAACAATAGCCATCTGGTATGAATGAATCAAAATTATTCAGATTAGCAAAAAATATATTTTTGGTATGCCATAGAATTTTAGCATTAGTTTTTGTGTGCGATGAGATGAAAAAGTTTGAAAATCGCTGGTCTAGAGCAATGCTATTCAAAGTGTGGCCCATAGACTAGTTGTTGGGCTATGCACTATTTGTTCTGGCTCTGTGATTTGATAAGGAGCTTGCACCAGATATAAATCAGTTGTCACCAAAGTACACTGTTTGGTTGACAGCAAGACTCAATGAAGCAGCAGATGATGCTTTCAACTCTGGTACAAGCTACTTATCTTAACATGAAAAATTTTTTAGTACTAGTTTTACAGAAGTTTTCTGCAGTTGAATGTAAAATATTCATCAGGATGAATATTGTTGGAACTGTGTTATCAGAGGCCAACTTATAATTTGATTACTGTAATTCCACAGTGGGCAGAGGTTTAGGAACAAAGAGGTCCATCATATAATTACTGGGTTAACCGTATCTTTCAAACCTGGAATTTAACTTTTGAGAGGTCACTTATCATATGAAAGAGAAAATTAGGTAGCTGATTAAACAAACAAGATTCCTCTTAATTATCTTTAATTCTAATACACACCAAAATAAGCCATTATCAAAACTTCACTTACCTATAAACAATTTTGTGTTCATGTAAATACTGCAGCCCAAGAACTACACATGCAGCATAAAATCTGAAGAATTAAATAAAGGTTTAATAAATTCCATTGATCTTGAATCCTAGTTTATACTTTTATACTTCAAAGCAGAATTCTATAGTTAACTAATTTCACAAATATTTATTTAGTCCTTACTATATGCCAGACATAGTAAGAGATGTGCTAAATATTAAATATTAGAGGGCGGGGGGGGGGCCCCCCCACACGGGGAGCAAGCCCTGCCTGCTGTGGCTCAGCTGGTTGGGGATTAGCCATTGCACCAAAAGGTTGCTGGTTCGATTCTCAGTCATAGCACATACCCAGGTTGCTGGTTTGATCCCCAGTAGGGTGCATATGGAAGTACCAATTAATGTTTCTCTCACCTCCTCTCCTTTCTTCTGTCTCCAAAATAAATAAATAAATAAATAAATAAATAAATAAATAAGTAAGTAAGTAAATAAAACATGAAAGAAAAAATATGATCTCTGCAATGGAAGCCATTAATTAACTTTGTCTGATGGCTTTTACTGTAGTCCTTCAACCTGGTCTGTAGACCCTCAGCCTCGCCTGTACAAAAAATTACAATATGCTGTAAGGTCAAAAGGACAGAGTGAAGAAAACTTTCATAGGTGAAATATAGGGCATTCCCTCGAGAGGGGAAGAAATAGAGGGGTAAGAGGCATAATATTTTTGAAAACAATAAGTTTACCATGGCTAAAGTAAAGTAATGAGAGAGGAGGCTGAAAAGCTTGGAATCAACTTATGAAGGGTCTTGATATTATGGACACTAAGTTTCTTTTTTCTTTGTGATAGAGAATCAAACTATTTTAATCAGATTTGTGTTAGATATTTCTGACAGTAGTATGCAGGTTGGAGTAAAAGTAGGTAGAGAGCCAGAGGAGAAAATAATAGATAAGGCCATTAGGATGGAACAGATGGAAATTGTGAGAACCTTCATTGTAGTGCCAACTAAGAGAAAGTAATGATAGATTTAAGAGAAATTTTAAAACTAGCATGACAGGACTTAGTGTCTCATTGGCTGTTGAGGATGAGGGAAAGGAAGAGCTTAAGATGACTCCCAAGGTTTCCTTCTTAGTGTAATGAATACAGTAGTCAAAGTTGTGCTGGGAAAATGAGTTTGGCTTTAGATTTGTTGACTCTGCATGAAATTAGTGCACAGGTGGGATCCCTAAGCCTGGCTGGCGATCAGGGCCGATCAGGTTCATTGCCTCACCCTCTCCAACTTCCCTTGGTGCTGCACTGCCACCATGCAGTTCCCTGCCTCCCCTCCTCCTCATTCCCACACCAGTGATTGTGGCCTGCCTGCCAGAGAGGAACCACAAAAGATTTCAATCCCCAGTTTGAAATGTGCAGGAGGCAGCTGATCAATGATTCTCTATCATAGTTGATGTTTTTATCTTTATTTCCCTCTCTGAAATTAATTAAATATGTATTTTTAAAATGCAAGGTTTTTAGAGGAAGAAAGATGGGGCAAGGGAGCTATTGAAAAAAAAAAAAAAAAAAAAAAAGGATGGGGTCATTTGAGATCTTGCTCACATTAAGGTGGCCCTCAGGGGGTGACAGGTGAGTGGCAATGGGTAGAGCAGGCCACTGCGGGCTGAGGAATGAGCTGTAATGACTGGAAATGTCTGTGACAGTGACACCAAGTGTTTGTTGGGGCCATCGCTGGGATCATTCATCCCTAAGAGGTTTTGATTCCGGAAAGGAGAAATACAGAGATCAGTGGGTCTCTTTAGCCTATAGAAGGTGATGCAGGTGGCAGGAGCAGGCTACCCTTTCCTAAAAATGTAAACACACGGCCAAATCAATGCCCAGTCACCCCTAGTGGCTGAGTCCTGCCATTCTCTGGCTATGCTGTGGTTCTATTGGCTGGGGAGGCTGAAGTCACACCTGAGCATATGTATTATACAAACGGGCGGGTAGGAAGCCAGAAGCTGGAGCTGATGCAGTGCAGGCCAGGCAGTGCTGCGTCCACTGTGGAGCAGCTGTTGGAATAGGAGGGGCTGGGCTTCCTACACCTCACTGGTGAGTTGCTGTGAGCCGAAGGACTTGGGGGCACCACCAAGATTGGTACGTGGTCCATCATGGCACATCAGCCTGGCCAGGCGGCACCTAGGGAGGCTTTTCCCTCTTGGAGCCACTCTTCCCAGAGTGGTGGCATCCAGCCACTTACCCTTCTCCCAAATTTTTTTATTGGAAAGCAAGCTCTAGGCTTGTGGTTCCTGGGATCCCTGGGCCATAACATGTGCCTCCAGGCCTCATTGTACCTCCCCACACCCCCTCTTCCTGCATTGAGTGTCAGCCCAGCCTATGCCCTCTCGCAATTCAGGACTCCTCGGGGAATGTCTGACTGCCAGTTTAGACCCGATCTCAGCCTGGCCTGTGGAAATCAGGCCTAAACTGGCAATTGGACATCCCTTTCACAATCCAGGATCCCCCGGGGGATGATGTCCGACTGCTGGTTTAGGCCTGATCTCAGCCTGGTCTGCGAGGATTGTGCCTAAACTGGCAGTTGGACATCCCCCAAGAGATGTAGCAGTGCTCCAAGCAGAAGGCAGCCAGGGAGGAGCCTGAACTGGGGCCAGGCGCCCTGCTGCTCATGCTCATCCCGGCCCGCTGTGCTTGCTGCTGCTGCTTGGCTTCTGGCTGAGCAGTGTTCCCCCTGTGGGAGTACACTGACCACCAGGGGGCAACTCCTGCATTGAGCATCTGGCCTCCCGGTGGTCAGTGCACATCGTGGTAACTGGTTGTTCTGCTGTAATGGTCACTTAGGCTTTTATATATATAGATGCCTAACATAATGCCTGATATGTGGTAGGCATACAGAATGAAGAGGCAAGTAATATATAAATGAGTGAATTTAAAAAATATAGATCTGTTTTCAGTGTAGAATAAATAGGTTATTAGGAGATACTTAGGAGAGTCAATTCTTAACTACACAAGCAAAACATGGATATTTTCTCTATCAAATATATAGAATACCCTTGTCCCAAGGCATAGCATTATATTTATTCATCTATCATCTCACCCCAAAGTGACTATCATCCATAGAGATAACAATTCTTGTCAGTTTGGTGAATGTTCTTCAAAGTTTTAGAATTCAGTTAGATGTACATGTAGATAATATACCTATGTTTTGTGTTTACTTATTTTTGTTGTTGTTAATCCTCACATGAGAATATTTTTTCATTGATCTTTTTAGAGAGAATGAAAGAGAGGGAAGAGACAAAGAAACAGAAACATTGATATGAAAGAGACACTTTGATAGATTGCCTACTGTATGTGCCCGGAAAAGGCCAGGGATCAAGAATCAAACCCTTGACCCTTCAGTATGCAAACTGATGCTCTATACACTGAACTAAACTGGCCAAACCTGTATATACTTATTTTTATCAAAATAGAACACAATTTAAGAAAAATGTAATATGCAAGTATTTAGAAATATTTATTTTATAATACATTGGCTCTTATATAAATACTTGTCAAAAATTTAAAAGATTTAACTAAGGTCCACTAGACCAAATGTGATTCTAAAATGCTAAGGTGGTTATTTATACACTAGAGGCCCGGTGCACAAAATTCGTGCATGGAAGGGGTGTCCCTCAGCCCAGCCTGCACCCTCTCCAATCTGGGACACCTTGAGGAATGTCCAACTGCCCGTTTAGGCCCAATCAGGTGGTCAGACATTCCTCTCACAATCTAGGACTGCTAGCTCCCAACCACTCACCTGCCTCTGCCTGATTGCCCCTAACCACTTCTGTCTTCCAGCCTGATTATCTCTAATCACTCCCCTGCCAGCTTTATCTATGCCTAACTGCTCCCTGGCTGGCTAAATTGCCCCTAACTGCCCTCACTTGCTGGCCCAGTCACCCATAACTGCCCTGGTCACCCCTAACTGCCCTCCCCTTGAGGCCTAACCCCCCACAACTGCTCTCCCCTGCAGGCCTGCAGGCCCCAAACTGCCCTCCCCTTCTGGCACCTAACTCCCTTCCTCTGCTCACCCAGTCACCCCTAATAGTCCTCCCCTTTAGGCCTGGTACCCCCAACTGCCCTCCCCTGCAGATATGGTCTCTCCCAACTTCCCTCCTCTGCTGGCTGGGTCACCCCTAAGATCTGCCCTCCCCTGCAGGCCTGGTCCCCTTCAACTGCTCTCCCCTGCAGGCCTGCCTCCCCCCACCTCAATTGTCTTCCCCTGCAGTCCTAGTCCCTCCCAACTGCACTCCCTTGCTGACCTGGTCTCCCCCAACTGCCCTCCTCTGCTGGCTTGGTCACCCCTAACTATTCACAATTGCCCCCCCCCTGCATCTTGTGTTTTGGATAAGGTGATCAGACATCCCACTTTTGGCGGGATAGTCCCGATTTTTAACAATTTGTCCCACATCCTGTGGTGTTTTAAAAAAGTTCCAATTTTTGGAAAGATTCTTTTAAATCTTTTGAACTTTTTTAAAACTCCGCAGGATGCGGGACAAATTGTTAAAAATCGGGACTGTCCTGCCAAAAGCGGGACATCTGGTCACCTTATTCTTGGAGTGATAGTCAATTTGCATATTACTCTTCCAATCAGAGCGAGTATGCAAATTAACCCCAACCAAGATGGCTGCAGCCACAGAGAGGAGAGAGGCTTGGGTTTCCCCTGCAATAGAAAAAGCCCTTCTGAAGCCCTGGCCAGCCTAGGCCTCCACTCTAGGCTACAAAGTTTCAATTATAGAAGGTAAACAAATCCAAACAGAAATGGTGGCAGCCACAGAGCGAGCAGGGGACTTGGCTCTGCTCCAGGCTACAAAAGTTTCAATTGTAGAAGGTAAATTCCTTAGAATTACCTTAAAAGGAAGACCAAGGGCCTCTGCTTGGGTCGCCGGGAGCCATGGCTGGCCTGCAAACCACCACAGGCCCCTCGCCCAGGCCGCCCCATGCCCCAAGAAAACACCCACCCTGATCCAGGACACTCTTCAGGGCAAACCAGCCAGCCCCAACCCATGCACCAGGCCTCTATCCTATCTAATAGAAGAGTAATATGCAGATTGACATCACTCCAACACAAAATATGGCTGCCCCCCCATGTGGTTAAAGATCCTGCCCCCATGTGGACACAAGAGGGCCACCACAAGATGGCCAGCAGGGGAGGGCAGTTGGGAGAGACCAGGCCTGCAAGGGAGGGCAGTTGGAGGCAATCAACCCTGCAGGGGAGGGCAGTTAGGGGTGACCAGGCCGGCAGAGGAGGGAAATTGGGGGCAAACAGGCTGGCAGGGGAGTAGTTAGACATCTATCAGGCTGGCATAGGAGTGGTTAGGGGGTGATCAGGCTGTTAGGCAGAAGTGATTAGGGGTAATCAGGAAGGCAGGCAGGTGAACAGTTGGGAGCCAGCAGTCCTGGATTGTGAGAGGGATGTCCAATTGCCCGTTTAGACCCGATCCTAGTGGGATCGGGTCAAAACGGGTAGTTGAACATTCCTTGAGGGTTTCCAAATTGGAGAGGGTGCAGGCTAGGTTAAGCCTTCCTCCCAACCAATCATGTGCACAAATTTCGTGCATTGGGTCTCTAGCATCTATATCAGTGAATGTTTATTATGTATCATGTACTGCGTTAGATATTTTCATCAATTAGTTTATTTAATCTTAAAATAAAACTTTTATAAAATATTTTTTAAAAAGCAGAGAATGAAGTTCTCAGAGAGTAATTTGTCTAAAGTGACATTGCTAGAAAACAGAAAAGCTAGGAATTGAACTGATTTTGATTTCATAGTCTCAATCAGTAAAGTCACTGGTCACCTATATGCCAGCCACCCTTCTAGCTCTTCCATTAGTACACAGAATAGAAAAGGTCCTTTTTTTCTTCTGCCTTTTACATTTTACGTAAAAAATACATAGATCAAAAGGTAGAAATAAAATGTTATGAAGAAATAAAATACAATAGAAACATGACTTGGACATTAGTAATAGTGGTATTTTAGATAAGATACTAAAAAATTGATCTTAAAAAAAAAATAACATTTGAGGTGAGATCTGAATAATTAGAGAAGTACTTCAGATTTGAAGTAGGCAAAGTATCGTTTTATTTCTGTATTTCATTGAGCTTGTTTCATTTGTATATAAATTATAGTCTCAGCAAAAATAAAAGTTTTTAAAGGATGAACTGCATTTTATATATAAACATACAAAACATAGTTTAAAGGCATAACAACACAGAAGAAATTTCCATGCGTAGTACAAGGCTATGCATAATCTAAATGTCCTGCTTTTAATTTTTAAATATTAACTTTTAAATATTCAGGAAATGAAATATTTTTAGCCTTTTTCTACTTTCTAGATTTTGTCTTCTTTCTGAAAGCATCACTGTCTATCAGAACTAACCTCTATTTTAATCTGAAACTTGAAAGTCTAACAGTATACTACTATCTGCTCTACATACTTCTAATGGTTATAATACAAATCAAAGAAATAAAAATGCTAAACAAATGTCAGTTTTCAAATTATAAACAAGTATTGAAAATTTAAGAATAAACCCAATAAAGATTTACTACTGATTTGAGATATGTTTTGAAGGTAGAATTGGTCAAACTTGCTAATAATTTGGATATTACATGTGAGGAAAAAGAGGATCAAGAATGACTCCCATGTTTTGGCCTGTACAATCGACAAATGGTAACGACTTTTACTAAGATGGAGAAGACTAGAAGAGTAGTAGATCTGGAAAGTGGTAGGTGAGGTCAGGACAAAATAGGAAAAATCAGTAACTTAGTTTGATAAGTTAAATGAGAAATAATATTAGCTATACAGAGGGAAAAGTCATGCTGGCCAATGAATTTAGTGAGTCCTGGGTGGTGTGACGCAGGTGGTTGGAGTACCATCCCATAGACCGAAAAGTTGCAGGATTGATCCCTGGACAGCAGGCATGTATAGCAGGCAACTATTCAATGTTTCTCTCTCAAATCAATGTCTCTTTCTCTCTCTTCTTCCTTCCCTCTTTTTAAAATGAATGAAAAATTTATCCTTGGGTGAGGATTTAAAAAAACACACCTAAATTTGGTAAATAATAGCATGTAGAATGTAGTTATTAAGAGCACTTTCCTAGATTCAACTCCTAGCTCCACCATTTAAGAGCTATAAATGGGATAACATTGAGGGGGGGGAGAGGGAATACATATATGTACATATTCAATCTTATGTATGCTATTATTTATTTTTTATGCATTTGAATAAGTAAAACTTTCATATTATGTCATATTCAAGAATTACAAAAAGGATTCTGATTTAGTCTACTTTCTATGTCTTTCATTGGAAGCTATATATATATATACATACCACTTTCTTAGATACTTTCAGAGATATTGTAAACACATACAAATACTTAAAATTACCCTTTAAAATACAAATACAAGTATTTCTGACAATTGTATGACACAGACTATTCTACCCCTTCTGTTTCCAGAATGTCCTTTGAGTATATTTGGAATTTAAAGCCACGGTCATAATGGCAATCCCTAGGGATAAAATGTAATAGAAAACAAAAATTTTAGCCCTGGCCACTGTGGCTAAGTTGGCTGGGTGTCATTCTATGCCTGTTTGTTTCCTGGTCAGGGCACATGGCTGGATTGTGGGTTCGATCCCTGGTAGGGGGCATCTCACATCAATGTTTCTCTCTCTCCCTCTCCTATCCTCTCTCTCTCTCTCTCTCAAAAAACAAACAAACAAAAAAAACCACAACAAATCAACTTTTTAAAAATTATATATATATAAAAAAAGCTGAAACCAATTTGGCTCAGTGGATAGAGCATCAGCCTGCGGACTGAAGGGTCCCAGGTTTGATTCCGGTCAAGGGCATGTACCTTGGTTGTGGGCACATCTCCACTAGGGAGTGTGCAAGAGGCAGATGATCGATGATTCTCTCCCATCGATGTTTCTAACTCTCTATCCCTCTCCTTTCCTCTCTGTGAAAAATCAATAAAATATATATTTTTTAAAATAATAAGAAAACAGCAAACCCAGCAAAAATTTTATTAAAATGAACCTAAATTTTATATTTGAATGATCAAGTATGATTTAGGGTAATCCGTGAAATTTTCAACATGGACAACAGAGTAAAATAGATTTTTTTTTTTTTTTTTTTGTGGCAAAAGGTAAGAATTTCTAAAGTCTTACTTTCTATTTGGGAAAGGGTGGGGGGCAAGAATTCAGAGAGCTTTTTTTTCCTTCCCAGAAAAAATTTAGTCATGAAAAATTCAGAGAAATGTCTGAAGCATACTCACACAGCTCTTGGTTCAGAAAAGACATCAGTATGAATGTGCATCATTAGGTCCCCACCGGCAGCATATTCCATTACAAAGCAAACATGCTCTTTGGTTTGGAAACATGCAAAAAGGTTCACCAAAAATGGATGCCTTACACTATTCACAGTTTCAAAAATTCTTTTTTCACACATCAGGCTGTAAGAGAAAACATTTAAAAATAAATAGGTATTTTTCTTCCTCTTAGGTTCTAGGTGAAAACAATGCTCTTTAAAAATCACCAAACTCTAAATTAAGTGAAGTCCTAAACAATTATAACTTTAAAACCATAAAATATGTCTTTGTTTTGCTACATATGCTTAAAAAATTTAGTCTGCTTGATGTATATAATGAATTGAAATATGTTAACACAAACTAAAATATATGATTAGTATGACAAAGATTATAGAGTTCACACTGATAGTACCAGAGCAGCACACATATAGCTAGTGTTATAGTTAATAGAAACAGTTTAATTAGGGTAAACTGTTAAAATTGATCAGGAATTGGTCAGAGAATTTAGCAACCTAAAGCATAATAAAAATAAAAGTTTGTGACCAAGGAAATTGAAATTAGAACAGTCTTTTTAATTAATAAGTTACAGGATTCAAGTATTTTATCATATAATATATGAAGTAAAGATATGCTGCATAAATTTTAATTTGGAAGGCTGACTGGAAAATAGAGAGGCTACATGGAGAATTCTATAACATGCTTCAAGAAGCTCCTTGAGAGTGTTATAATTTCTCTGTAAAGTCTATAGAATCATAGGTTTTTCCTATAAAAATTTTTACAAGCTGCCTGAAAAAACAGTATTTAAAATTTCTGACTCTGGAACATTAATTTTGACTAAATAGAAAAAAATTACTACTACTCCTCTCCCTGAAAATCAACTTGACTTAAAGTAGAAGAAAATCAAGTCAAATGTTCAAATACAACCTGGAATTAACTTATTTTCATTTTTAATCATCCCATTAATGATAGTTTTAAAAAGTATATTCTCTAGCCTAATTACAACTTTATCCCCAAAATCCTTGAATTTTAATAATACAGAGATATACACTTATCAATTTCCAGTTATTAAACCCAGAAAGGTGAGATGTTGTGGTAAAATATATCATTTCCTCTTTTTTAAAACAATAGATATAGGTGCATTTTAAAAAGTAGACTATATAAACAATACTGCAGATTATCTGTAAATGACATTTTAAATTTCTATAAAACGAAATGGGAAATAGTCTCACTCAACCACAGATAAGTTTCTATTTCATATAAACACTTTAACATCCCCAAGCATAAAAAACTAATACAATTAGATTAAAAATGTCATCATCTTTCTCTGATATTCCCTAACCAAAAAACTGTCCAAGAAGGGAAAGAGGGAGTTGGCTGGAAGAGAAACAATATTTAATTAATGCCCACCTTACTTCAAGTATAGATACATTAATTTATTTAGTTTCTTCATGTATTGTTACACACACAAAAAAGTTTTGCTGTTATTAAGTCACAACTTGAGAAAAATATTTTATTTTTAAAAAGCTAACCTGTCTACTTCGTCTCGAGCTACAATGTCTCCTTTCTTTAAGGCCTTTATAGCAAACATCTCATTTGTGTGTTTATATTCAGCCAAAAGCACCTGAAATGAGATTAAAATAATTATTTCCCACTTGAGTTATTACTTTTGTAGATATTAAGAAATATTAAGAGATTACCTTTCCAAAATGTCCTCTGCCCAAGACAGCACAACATCTGAAGTCTTGTAAATTAAACTGTAACATTTGTTGAGATCTGAAAATAGTAATGACAGTTAAAAATAAGGCAAAAGTATGATACCAAACATGCAATAACAAAGTTGTGTATATATTCTTTACCTTCTATCATCAAGTTCTTGAACTCTACTATATTCTAGGCTTGATTGAGGAATGTCAGCTTCAAATTCTGATTGAGATTTTGGACGTATATTATTTCTTTCATTTTCAAAAACAGTTTCTGAGTCCTGTAAAATATTAAATACTCATTAAATTATAGAAACATTTAAGAAACAACTTAGTTGGTAAGAACAAAGTTAAAATAAAAATGTCAGAAGTCAACATGGGTAAGAAAAGTGAAATTCAGATACTAAATACTCATTTTAAGGTTATTAATTGTATATTGCATTTATCTAAAATATGTGAAAAACTAACACATTATTGTCATCTTCAATGCATATTCAGAAATGTTAACCAAGTCAGAAGAGGCAGAGTGTTCAGACAATATGTCATTTACTATCAACCATGTTATTATACTCTTTTTATTTTTTAAAATATATTTTATTGATTTTTTACAGAGAGGAAGGGAGAGAGCTAGAGAGCTAGAAACGTCGATGAGAGAGAATCATCGACCAGCTGCCTCTTGCACACCCTCTACTGGGGATGTGCCCGCAACCAACGTACATGCCCCTGACCGGAATCGAACCTGGGACCTTTCAGTCCGCAGACCGACGCTCTACTGCTGAGCCAAACTGGTTTCGGCCTTATGCTCTTTTTAGCTGAAGCAGCCTATTTTATCTCAACTGGCCCATGGACATCTAGTGATTTTTATGTTTCACTCATAAGAACACAAAAACACAGACAATTAAAAAAAAAAAATCCTCACCTGCGGATATGCTCATTGAATTGAGAGAGAAGGAAGAAGTGAGGGAGGGAGAGAGAAGAAGAAAAAGAAAGAGAGGAATAAGGGGGTAAGAGAGAAAGAGAGAAATAGCGATGTGAGAGAGAACATCTATCTACTGCCCTCCTAAAGGGATTCAACCTAGGTATGTGCCCTAACTGGGAATTGAACCTGTCACACTTTGGTGCATGGGTTGATGCGCCAACTAACTGAGCAACACTGACAAGGTACAATTTTTAAATAAATAAAATATATACTTCATTCACTATGATGCTTTTACTGGTAATTCACATGGTAATTCACAAGTTTTAAAATGCCTTGCCTGTTCTGGTGCATCCAAATCTCTTAATTCAGCAGATTCATCCATTTCTCCAAGGGAAGAATCACGTGGTGGGGCGGGAGGAGGTTCAGGTTCAAGATCAAAGTCCAATTTAGTTACTGTAGAATCACTTATAAAAGAGAAATTCACCAAAAACAGTTATTAAAAATGTGTATTTTAAATAATCTAAAATACAAGCAAACAATTTTTAAAAGTAATCAGAATATTAATTTCATAATACTATTTGGAAGAAAATGAGATTTAAATAGGCCCACTGTAATCAATAGATACAAATGTCACAATTTTTTAATTTACTTAATAAAAGCAATGCTTCAATCTTAGACACATACCTAGCTGGAGGTGCTAGCTCTGGAATGCGTACATCAACCACTGGCACTGTAGCAGGCCCAGGTGTTTGAGGGCTAAAGGTGCCAGAATGATTTACTGTAGGAATAGCTCTTCTCACTAGTCTTCCCCAAGTGGCAATATTAATATTCATTTGAGGAGCTCTAAGAAATGTTTTGCCTGTGGAATTGTAAATAAAGAAAACTGAACAAGTGATTTTTAAAATATATTACCAAAACTATAATTTAAAAATTCATATTCATTGGTTTATAATTTAAGGACAAATAAAATATGCACTTAAAAAATAGTTAACTATTTGTTATAAAGATTAGTGCAAAATAGTACCTACCTATTAAAGATAAATAGGTAGCTACTTTATTTTATTTTATTTTTTAAATATGTTTTATTGATTTTTTACAGAGAGGAAAGGAGAGGAATATAGAGTTAGAAACATCAATGAGAGAGAATCATAGATCAGCTGCCTCCTGCACACCTCTTACTGGGGATGTGCCTGCAACCTATGTACAAACCCTTGACCGGAATCAAACCCGGGACCTTTCAATCCGCAGGTTGACGCTTTATCCACTGAGCCAAACAGGTTTTGGCTAGATACTTTATTTTTAAAGTCTGGTAATGTCATGTGGTTATGGTTTAATAAAAATTCTTACTTTTTGGAGATACTAACTATAATATTTAAGGATACTGGTACACCGGTTAATAATGCAGATTTTGTAATAAAAAAAATGGTAATTTCAAAAGAAACATCAAAAGTGCTTTATTCAAATTAATCTTTCAGGTAATTTGTGGATACTGCCCATTGAACTTTTCTTGTTTTGAGGCAAACCATTCAGAGACCCAATTTTCCACTTCTTCGTACGTTTTAAAGTGCTTCTAAGAAAGTGCATATACCATTGATCCGAACAAGTGGTAATTGGAAGGAGCAAGATCTAGATAATATGGCAGGTGGGTTAATTCTTCCCAAGAAAGATCTTTTAATGTGTTTTTAACTGGTTTTGAAATGTTTGATGCTCTATTATGATGATGCAAAAGTACTCTGGTGTGTCTTCTGGCACATTCTGGTCGTTTCATGATCAAAGTGTGGTTCAAATTGATTGTCAGTAGCAATTAGCATTAACGGTTTCACCTGGTTTTAGAAGCTCAGAATATACCACCCCTTCCTGATCCCACCAAATGCAGAGCACTGTCTTCTTTCCAAAGCGATTAGGCCTTGCAGTCAATGTTGATGGTTGACCAGGATCAACCCATGATTTTGTATGTTCGGGGTTCTCAAAATAAACCCACTTTTCATCGCCAGTGTCACAATTTGATGCAAAAAAAGGCTTTCTTTTGTGCCCTTTAAGCAACATTTTACTGATGACTTTTCAGTTTTCCATTTGTCTTTCATTCAGTTGATGTGCCACCCATTTTCCTTCCTTTACAATCTTTCCCATTGCTTGTAAACAATTGGAAACTGTTTGCTGAGTAATATTTAATTTTTCTGCAAGTTCTTTTTGAGTTTGTTGGTATTCAAACTTTTTCGGTTGACTTTGAGGATGTTTTTTGTCTTTCACATAAAAATCACTTGTAAAGCATTTAAGCCAGCGTTCACAAGTATCTTGAGATGGAGCATGTTCACCATAAGCTTCCCAAAGTATACAATAACTTTTAGCAGCACTTTTCTTCAAAATAAAGTAATGAATTAAAACTTTCTGCAAATGTTTTTTTTTTTTTTTTGGCTCGAAATTCGACATTTTCTAAGTATAAAAATATCTATAATGTTAACACTTTCAGAAAATTTGACATATGAAGTTTTGAAGCTTGCTGTCAATATAACAAAATAGCATACATATCAAATCGCGAAAATATCAACATGTGTGTAACTCCGTCTATTGAAAAAAACCCTGCATTATTAATTGGTACACCTGGTAAATCAATATGATGTCTGGATTTGCTTCAATTAATCTGAAGAACTAATGAGTGAGCGATAAATAAAAAAATTGGTCATGAGTTGACTGTGGTTGAAGTTGAATGATGGTACACTGCACTAGTCTCTCTACTTATGAGTATGTTTGAAAAATTCCTTAATAAAAATAAATGAATACACAGATAAAAATAAAACAAAACACAAAGATGGATATCACTTTTAAAATAGTATAGAGAGATTCCAAAATGGTGTGGAATAAGTAGAAACTACATGGACACACTCCTATGACCAAACTGGAATTATAATTAAAATACAGATAAATCACCCTGAATAATTACTGAAGACTGGCGGAGAGAACCCTGATAACCAAGGATGGATAGTGGAGACCGTATAGAGATTGATGAGAATTGAGGAGACACAAAAGGGCAGGCTAGGCTCCCACAGACAGCAGCTGAATTTTTGGAAGGATATCTCAGCTGTGGGGGGTTGCCACTGAGAACTCTGGGGTCTAAACCCTAAGTTGCCCCCCCCCCCAGCCCAGAACTGAGAGATGCCCACATAACATCTGGCTGTCAAAAGCAGCAGGGTTGCTGTCTACCAGGGAGAAATGGCTGGAAATGCAGGCACTCTCTTAAAGTGTCAATGCACAAAATTTCATGTGCAGCCACTCACCTTGGCCTCTGGCAGAGGGAGAGTACAGTGGATTGGAGCCATGTGAGCAGAAGCCAGGGTTGGGGACTATGAGGTTAGAGCTCAGAGGCAGACACCTGATTCTTGTGTTGAAACATTCCCTCATACTGCAGAGGACATCTTTCTCCTGTACATCTTTACCATTAAGGTAGCTTTTGCTGTGGAGTAGGTGGGAGGAAAGTAATTGAAAAACTCTTGCCCCACCCTGTGGAGTTTCTGAGGCCCAATAAGAGACTGAAAATAACAATCAACCTGCAGACAGAGGCAAGTCTCTGGAGGTTTTGAGTCTTTGCCCACCCCCAGTTGGAAAACTTCTCACCCCTTTCTGAGACGGATAGCCTAAGGCTAGTCAAACTGAATACCAATCAGATGCAGGCAGAGGCCCTTTTCTGGAGGCTTTGAATCTTTGCCTGATCTAATCCAGGTCTGGAGTAAGGAAAAGCAGACCTTGGTGCAAATTCTGGTCCTTTCCAAAGGAACTGAGCCCCACCAGAGGAAGCCACAACCTGTGGATTGTGGATAGCTCCTCCAAACAGGTACTCAGGGCCAGTCACAAACAGTGTCTGACATTTTCTTGCACTAGTGATTGGGAGTCATAACAGATCTACCTAATGCACAGACACAAACCTAAACAGGGAGCCAAAATGGGGAGACAAAATAATAAGCCCCAAGAGAAAGAACAAGAGAATTCTTCAGAAGAAGTGCTAAATGAAATAAAGATAACAAATTTATCAGATATAGAGTTCACAATAATGACTGCAAAGATACTCAACAGCATGAGTACAGATATAGTAATTATGAAAAAAGACCAGTCAGAAATAAAGAATGACAGAATTAATAAAGAACACACTGGAAGTCATAGCCACAGCGATCAGTCAAGAAGAAATAATGAGAAAATAAAACTCTCATTATTTGCAGATGACATGATATTGCACACAGAAAACTCTAAAGATTCCATCAAAAAATAACTAGATTTAAATAAATGAATTTGGCAATGTAGCAGTATACAAAATTAACACCCAGATGTTGATGGCATTTTTTATACACCACTAATGAATTCTCCAAAAGAGAAACTAAACAAACAATCCCATTTACTAGTGCAACAAAACAAATTAAGATAATTAGGAATAAACTTAACCAAGGAGGTAAAAGATCTGTATTCTAAAAACTATAAGATGTTGAAGAAACAGAAAGGGAAAGTTATAAACAAGTGGAAGAATATATCATGTTCATGTTGGAATTAACATCATTAAAATGTTCATACTACCCAAAGCAATCTATAGATTCAATACAATCCCTATTAAAATACTACCAGCATATTTCACAGATCTAGAAAAAAACTCTCCAAAAGTTATGTGGAACAAAAAAGACCCCAAATAGCTGCAACAATCTTGAGAAAGAAGAACTAAGTTGGAGGGATTATAATACCAGATATCAAGTTATACTACAAAACTACCATAATCAAAACAGCCTGTTACTAGCACAGGAACAGGCATATAGACCAATGGAACAGAACAGAAATTGACGCGAACCACTATGCTTAATTAATATTTAAATATTAATTAAGCATAGGGAGGCAAGAACATACAATGGAGTCAAGAGAGTCTCTTCAATAAATGGTGCTGGGAAAACTGGACAGATACAGGCAAAAAAATGAAACTAGGCCACCAACTTACACCATACAAAAGAATAAACTCAAAATGGATAAAAGACTTAAATGTAAGTTGTGAAATCATAAAAAGAGAAGAAACCATAGGCAGCAAAATCTCAGACATCTCTTATAGCAATATGTTTACCGATACATCTACTAGGGCAAAGGAAACTAAAGAGAAAATAAACAAATGGGACTACATCAAAATAAAAAGTTTCACAGCAAAAGAAACCACCAACAAAATGAAAAGGGAGCCCATTGTAATGGAGCACATGTCTGGCAATGATACATCTGATAAAGAGTTAATATCCAAAATATATAAGAAGCTCATACAACTTAACAAAAGGAAGATAAATATTCCAATTTAAAAATGGGCAAAGGACCTAGAAACTTCTCCAAAGTGGACATACAGAAGGGGCCCTAGTATATTATTGGTAGGAATGCAGACTGGTGCAGCTATTATGGAAACAGTATAGAGTTTCCTCAAAAAATGGGAACTGCCATTTGACCTAATATTCTTAGTTCTGGCAATATATCCTAAGAAACCCAAAACACCAATCAGAAAAAATGTATGCACTCCTATGTTCATAGCAGCACAATTTACAACAGCTAAGATCTGGAAACAGTCCAAGTGCCCAACAGTAGATGAATTGATTTAAAAAAAAAAAAAAAAAAAAAAAAAAAAAAAAAAAAGCTGTGGTACATTTATACCATGGAATATTATGCATCAGTAAAAAAGAAGGATCTCTTACCCTTTGAGACAGCATGGAGGGACCTGAGGAGTATTATGCTAAGTGAAATAAGCCAGTCAGAAAAAGACAAGTATTACATGACCTCACTCATATGTGGAATCTACTGAACAAAATAAATTGATGAACAAAATGGGCTCAGAGACACAGAAGCATGAAATAGACTGGAATCTCAGAGGGAAGGTAGGTGTGGGTGGGTGAGTGGATAGGAAGTGATCGACCAAAGAACTTGTATGAATATGTATATACCCCACTGACACAGACAATAGGGTAGTGATGGCCTGAGGTGGAGAGCAGGACAAACTAGAAGAGGTAAATGGGGGGGGGGGGGGGGGGGGGGGAGAGAAACGGGGCTTATAATACTCTCAACAATAAAGATTTTTAAAAAGAAAAAAAAGTTGCAGATTTTCTTTACTTCAGGAAACACCAAAACACTTAGTATTTGATTTCATAATAATTACCTTGCTGTTTTGAAAAAATTTTCTTTTGTCGTTGGAGTTTTGGTCTTCTTTCAATAACTGGGTTAAAAAAGGTAACCTACAGTGAAGAAAATTTAAGTTAATATGAATATAGCACTGGATTTATGGTCATGAAATTCACTACACTACTAAGTTTTGAAAACTTAAGAGAACCTTAGATATAACATAGTCCAACCCCCTCTGAGTAAACAAATTAGAGGATAAATTATTTGTCTTAAAAATAATATACCTTTTCAGTGGCAAAGCTGAGCCAAGATTTCAAGCTGTCTGTTGTTTAGCCTAATATTCTTTCCACTTTTACATCATGCTGTCTACATATATAATTTCAACTGCAGTTATGCACATTTAATAAAATACATCTATTACCTCTGCAAACAAAGTGCCCTGTGGTTCCAAATAGAGACACATGCCATGCCGCTGGTTGTCTAAGAAATCTTCTAACCTCAGAAATTTTACAGCACACAGAGATCGCCAATCACGCCAATAAACCGAGATTTCCAGTTCACGTGACTAGGATAATTAAAAAAAAGAAAAAGAAAACAGAGAAGACATCATTGGACACACACTTGAGTAAAATATCAGAAAAAATATAAAATTTAGATACAATAAACAAAAATGACACACATATGATTGCACTATTTTGAAGAGTGCTTTTCAATGTTTCTCTCTTTCAATATTATTTTAATAAACGTACACATTTTCATTCAAAGGAAGAAACTTATATTCTGACAGCCTCCAGCTAAGATATTCTTTTTATATAAAGAATATACTACTGGGAACAACTAATATAAATGAATGACTACAGAAACTCTTTCCAATCTTACAGCTTCAATCTTTCGGATTTTCCTCCTCCATTTGGCATCCCTTGCTGTGCTATTGTAAAAAGACCTCAGTGCTTGCCTCAAAGAACCATTTCAAATCATATTTCCTGTATCAATGCTGAATCAGACAAAGGTTGTGGAGATTATTTATTCTGCACTTACAATGTGCCACACACTGTGCCAAGCATTTAAGAATATTAGGTCCCGCCGAAACCGGTTTGGCTCAGTGGATAGAGCGTCGGTCTGCGGACTGAAAGGTCCCAGGTTCAATTCCGGTCAAGTGCATGTACCTTGGTTGCGGGCACATCCCCGGTAGGGGATGTGCAGGAGGCAGCCAATCGATGATTCTCCCTCATCAATGTTTCTAACTCTCTATCCCTCTATCTTCCTCTCTGTAAAAAATCAACAAAATATATTAAAAGAAAGAAAGAAAGAAAGAATATTAGGTCCCTTAACCTTTAAAGAATACCATTGAATAATAGGACCAATAATAGCAGGGGCCTCTTGTAGGTAAGGAGAAAAAGGGAAATTGAGACTAAGTTTTATAAAAAAGATGTTCAATTATCACAACATAAAAAATAAAAAAAATTGGCAATAAGCTGAATGTCCCCAAAGCAGGGGCAAATATATTATAACACATCCATATTAGAGAATAGTCTGTAGTCATATATATATATATATATGACTTTTATATATAAAAGCCTAACCAACTGGCATACTGTTCCACCATTGGCTATGATGCACACTGACCACCAGGGGGCAGATGCTCAACGCAAAGGCATAGAAAGACGAATTTCAGAGGGAGGGGGGAGGGCTGGAAAAGATAACCAAAAATCTTAATAAGCATACTAGAGGCCTGGTGCACATGTTTGTGCACCAGTGGTGTCCCTCAGCCTGGCCTGCAGGGATTGGGCTGAAACCGGCAATCCGACATCCCCCGAGGGGTCCCAGATTGCGAGAGGGAGCAGGTTAGGCCAAGGGACCTTACCGGTGCACAAATCCATGCACTGGTCCTCTAGTTAAAAATAATGCTTACATGGGGAAATGTATCTAAGGTTTTAACAATTACTAAATGTACCTGAAGAGAACAGTTTATAAGTTGGAGAATCAAATCATAAAATGACATCTATATATATGCTATAATTTACACACATTTTAATTATTAAGCACCAGACTTTTCAATTATTTTGTTTTTCTAGGATTTTGTACACCATCCACCAAAAGACAAACGTTTTGCCCTTTAGGCTTTACAAAGTATTAAGTTACTTCTTTCAAAGAATAACTTTAAAAATTTATGAAATTATATACCTTATGTAAGTTGTTAGTATACACAATAAAATATCTTTTGATTTCCTACCTAATAATAGAGTAATTAACCATCACTGCTACACCCACAAGCCATGCCTACCAGCCAATCAAAGCGAGTATGCAAATTAACCCAACAAAGATGGTGGTTAATTTGCATATGTGAAGGGAGGGAGGAGTGAAGACTGAAGACAGCATAGAAGGAAGAGGGAGGGAAAGTGGAAAGGAAGGTGGCTACAGCTGTTGGAGGGAAAGCACTGGCAGCATGTGTGGGGTGGGGCGCAGCGAGGCAACAGGCACAGTGGGTTGGGTGGGAAGGGCTGGGTGTGCAGCAGTGGTGTGTGAGGCCCCAGAGGCAGCGGTGGAGAGCACAGCAGGTTAGGGTGCGCAGTAGCGGCAGCAGGTGCGGCGGGTCAGGGGTGCTGGATGAGGCGTGCAGATATGGTGGCAGCGCGCATGGCCATGGAGACGGTGGTGGCGGTGGCCGCGGGCGAGGTGGAGGGTGGCAGCGGTGACCGCAGCAGGAGAGGAGGGGGGGTGCGGGAGAGGTGGCAGTGGCAGGAGGGAAGTCTGCCATGAGTCTTGCAGGAATATTCCTGCAACAGGTCACCAGTTAAATAATAAAACAAGTTGATGCAAATGAATACAAAAACCACTAGCCGAGACCAGTTTGGCTCAATGGATAGAGCGTCGGCTTGGGGACTGAAGGGTCCCGGGTTTGATTCCGGTCAAGGGCATGTACCTTGGTTGCGGGCATATCCCCAGTAGGGGGTGTACAAGAGGCAGCTGATCGATGACTCTCTCTCATCGATGTTTCTAACTCTCTATCTCTCTCCCTTCCTCTCTGTACAAAATCAATAAAATATATTAAACAAAACAAAACAAAACAAAACCACTTATAAAAAAGAACATGAAAAAAATGACTCAAAACACCATGTGCCAGAGGGTCTCAGCAGCAAACAGAAAAAGGACTGGAAAAAGATACCTATGACAGTGAACATGTGAGCCCAGTGTCTCCTACCTCATTGTTTCTCTCTGACACATATTACTATAGGAGAGAAGAAGTATGAATAGAGTATAATTATTTTAAGATAAGCAAGTGGTATTTAAAAGCAGTGTGTGAATGCTGTAATATTCTATTCAAGTTAAAGATTTACATATTTGGAAACAGTTATTTTGGGAAATGAACAGAAGAAATAATTAAACCAGGGATTGGTAATTTAGACTGCATTGCTTTAGGTTAGAGAAGGAGAGGCCTCCTTTTCCCTGTCTTCTCTATATTAGGGAGAAAGGCTTGTTATGGTTCAGGCAGATGGGAGGCCTATAGATGCTGGGTATGGAATTAGTACTTGTTAAAAGTTCTTATACTCTTGCACTGATAAATGATAACATTATACCTTTCACTAGGTGACAGAAGGCCAAATCACCTCATCTGTATATATTATAGCCACTTTGATAAAACTCACTTATTGACTCGTTTCCCTACCCTCTGTCTCTTTATTCGATGATTCAAACTGAAATATACTAGAAGTTCTTAGATTTGGGTGGAAGGACATTTCAAAGCCTTAGGCTAGCTTTCCTGGAATTGTGCATTGAGGTTTTACATATAAAGCTCTTTAAATTTTGTTACTTTACATTGTTCCCTGAGTATCCTTCTCTCTACAATTTAAGGGGATGGTAGCTATGCTCTAGAACACAGTAAGATATTTTGTCAGAAATCCTAGCCAAAACTGGTTTGGCTCAGTGGATAGAGCATCAGCCAGTGGAATGAAAGGTCCCAGGTTGGATTCCGGTCAAGGGCATGTACCTTGGTTGCGGGCACATCCTCGGTAGGAGATGTGCAGGAGGCAGCCAATCGATGATTCTCTCTCATGTTTCTAACTCTCTGTTCCTCTCTCTTCCTCTCTGTAAAAAATCAATAAAATATATTTTTTTAAAAATCCAAACACTGTTTCATGGAACCTCAATCCTACATTAATCCCTAATATCCAATCACATCCCTATGCGATTTGGATAGGAAAAGCAGGGATATAATATCAAAGCAAAGTGGCTTCTATATAAACTAGAGGCCTGATGCACAAAGATTTGTGCAAGAATGCGACTTTCTTCCCCTGGCTGTCAGTGACGTCTTTGCTCCAGCCAGAGCCACCTTTCTGCCTTCCCATGCTGCCCAGAGGCCCGGAGTGTCTGGGGTGGTGCGCCCTGCTCCCTCGTGCCTGTGTATGCATATTAACCCACCATCTTTGTTGGGTTAATTTGCATAATCACTCCTGATTGACTGGTGAGTGTCATAAAGGTATAGTCAATTAGTGTAGATAGATGCTACTAATATTTATTGAATTTAAACTGCAAGTGTGATTGCTCATTTGCTAGCAATTTTCCAGAAGCAGGTCAGTTTTATAAAGGAAAGGCATGTTTGTAGGTAATGTCAAATTCTAAGAGTTACAAAGTGCTAGATGGAGTGAAATGATCAAAATAGCTGAGTAGTGTGATTTGAGCTAAGGACTAGCAAACTGTCCCAACTTAGTGTTTCATTTTGTCTTTTAATGAATTTGAACTCAGGACAAAAGAGAACAGAAGACAAAAGAGAAAACTTGGTAGTCCTATAAAATCTGTATGATTTATCTAAAGCCTCTGCAAGGTAAAAAAGTAAATAAAGAGACAATGAATCAGTCATAAGTGTAAGTGAGAAAAGAGAGCAACACCTTAAAACATACGTTGCAATTAAAAAAAAGAAAACAGTACATATTTAGCATAAAAAGAACTGAAGCACAAAGAAGGCAAGGGTTCCCAAACTGTTCCTGAGGAACTCTGGGGCAACAGAGATATTTTGACTTTTCAAAAGAAACACAGTGACATCTGCAGGACATCATAAGAAATAGTCAACATCAGAACGTACCACATTCCTTTTGATGACATAGTATCTTTGCTTACCACATGAAAAATCAATGTGGAACAGGAGATAAGGCTGCAGTGCCCAATCTGATTCCAAGCTTTGAGAAATTATATTGTATACAACTGGCAGATATATCCCATAAGTAAAGGTTATATATAACAATAAAAATATTTAAAGGGCATACTGAAATTATTTGATATATGTATACAGGTTAAAAGGATTCTTCTCATCTATTTAATTACCATGTACACATCAAATATTTTACATATATTACATGAATATGTAAGTACATGTATTAAGGGAGATTATAGAAAAATATATATTTGGTGAGAATATTTAAGTTCTATTCTCTTAGCAAATTGTATTTATACAATAGTGTTATCAAGTATAGTCACCATATTATACATTAAATGTTCAGAACTTATTATTTTATAGCTGTAAATTGTACCTTTTTACTAAAATCTCCCTATTTCCCAATCCCAAGCGAA